ATCAATATAATAAATTACTACTGATAAATAATAATATTGTTACAATTATTTATGAAAAAAATAAAAAAAAGATTTTTCACAAATTGATTGCCGAAAAAAAAATATTTTAACATCATATATACAAAGTGATGTAAGATTTAGCTTCATTTTTANAAGTGATANATATTAACATCAATTATAATAAATGATGAAAATATTTGTGTCGGTTTTTTTCATTGATACAAAAAATTAGAGTCACCATTTTTAAAGTCACTTATAGAAGTGATGTAATTTCAGTTGTGTCAGTCGAAAAATGATTTAAACTCATAAAATAAATGACACAATCCACTCTTTTTTTGTAGTGCTTGAAGCATACCATAGCTTTCCACAAAAGCAATCTTGATCGTACAATCTTCCATCAAAGAGATGAGAGATTAGAAGAAACGGATCATAACAAAGAGTTTATTACGCGAAAACACTTGAGGATTCTGATGACCAAGAACATCATCTTAAAGAGCTTTTGTCGGAATTTGATGAGAAATGTGTAGCTAGAGGGGAAGATTCTATTGTCTTCTATACAACGAGTATCAGAGGAGTGAGAAAGACTTTCGAAGATTGCAGAAAAGTAAGATTCTTGTTAGAGAATCATAAGGTTTCGTTCCGAGAAAGAGATGTTTCGATGGATTGTGAGTTTAAAGAAGAGTTATGGAAGTTACTTGGTAAGAAAGTTACACGTCCTATGGTTTTCGTAAATTGTAGGTACATTGGTGGAGCAGAAGAAGTGGTGGCTTTGAACGGGAACGAGAAGCTCAAGAAGCTTCTAGAAGGGATTTCATCGCCGGTTAGGTCCCCGCGGTGTGATCGGTGTGAGAACGAACGGTTTTTGATGTGTTGGAATTGTAATGGGAGGTCGAGAGTGGTTGCGGAAGATGGAACGTGGAATAGATGCAAAGAGTGCAATGAGAATGGTCTTGTGAAATGTGATCTTTGTACTTGAAAAAAGTGTGTTAGAGTTTAGTTCAACTCTATAATTGTAGTTTCTTTGAAGATGACATTTCTAATGATATTTTTCGTAAAATTCTTGAATCTATGACAAGTAGGCCTGGGCACGTATCGTATATCCAGAAAAATGCAGTATTTATGATTCGATTTTTTTTTAAAGATATTTAATTTTCCGATTTGCTTTGCTTCGAAAAATTTCGGATATCCGAATTTTTTCTAGATATTTGCGGATATCCGGATTTTCGCGGGTATCTGTTTTAAACAAAAAAAAAATTAAAAACACCATACTATTTTTTTCAAAAAAAAATTTTGATATAAGATTTAAACTAATTAATTAATAAATATATGAAGTGAGTCTCATTTTATTCGATAAATTGTTTA